TTTTTTGTAGTTTCCAACATGTTTTTCTCCCCAAACACATTTTGTCAACTGAAGAAAAGCACAATGCTGTCACCATCATGTGACAGCATGGCGGCGTTAAACAAGATGTTATTTTTCCACCACACAGTGCATCTTGCATGTTCAACAATGACTTTATTCCTGTCACTCCTCAGGCAGAATAAACTGTGAACAGATTCTCATACCTGAGCTCTAGATCTCTACAGATCCTCAGACTTACCATGGGCCTGTTTGCTGTTTCTCTGATGAACTAACTCCCTTCTTGCCCATCTGAGCCAAGGCTTTGGAGATGTGCGACAAGCTCATATTTGGGCGATAGACTGAACAGTGCCGCAATGTTCAGAACTTTATTGATTTATAACCTAATTCTGCTTTGACCTGTCTGCATTGTGTTGTTAGTTCACCAATGAACACCAACATACCTCTCAGGCCTTCACAGAACAGCTAGATTTCTACCAAGATTAAAGTGGATGTATTATTCAAAACTCAAATATTGCGATGTTTTTGTACTTAAATTGGGTCGGCAATAAACTGACAATTATTTTGTGTCTGGAAAATAATCCTTTTCAATGATCTCCGGAATGTAACGTGACAAATCAGCAGGCACTGCTTGTCACCTAGCAACCCGAGAGTAGCCCAGCCCGTTACCAAGCAACACAAGCGAACCTACATTAAGTTCGGTTAGCTAGTTTTACCACTGAATGCACTGCTGGGAAAGACAAGTGTTTTATTGGTTTACCATCCAGAAACCACTTGCTGCTTTCTTGTTGTTTGTTTCGGAGGCTCTACTTCTGATTTTACAGTTGTATAATTGCACATCTGTTTGCAACCGTTTCCGTGTGCGAGTGTAAATCCTTGTTTGGGGCGTGGCTAACATCAACTTATTTGGATTTAAAGTGACAAGCTCATTCTAACATGAACTCAAAATACATAAACAGAACTGAGTAGACTAAAATCTCATAAAGTGAGAATGATTTTGTGCAAAACAACAAAATTAAATTTAATGGACGTGTTTTGTAGAGTATAGACTTATCCTAACATGTTCAAGAAAACAAACTAGGTCACCTTTTATATTTACCCAGTTTGAATACTATTCTAGTGACCTCAGAAGGCAACTTGTTGTAAACAGTTTTATGAGGGGACATTATAGTAAAGAGAGCTGGATCCAAATGCCCTTCATACTGTTCAGATTTTTAATTGTACAAAGTATGAATCATTTTCCTTCCATAGTTTTCGAGCAGCTGAAGATGCTCATTCACACATAATCCAAATAAAACACTTAGAAGTTTGCGGTAAAGTTGCCTTTTGTAAAGCAACTTCACTTTCATCTGAGTCCTGGACTCTTGGTTGAGACTGTTTTTCCCCCGCTTACAGTCTGAGAAGCAAAAAGAGAGAAAACCCAGTCACATGAGCTAAATGAGGCATCTGCTTGGCAGGGAGTTTAGATAATGAGGCTTTAGTTTCTCCTGCCCTGGGTGTGGATGTCAATCCCACCAAAGGAAGTAACATTTGACTGATCACATACAATGCAAGTGTTTGATATGTCTGGTTTGTTCATTTGTAACGCTTATTAAACCACCTAGACTATTTTATTTTAAAACCGAAACCTGAGCTGCTTTGTTTTGTCTCGTTCACAGATTTGGAGGTTTTTCAGCTGTGACCTAAGCAATCACGCTGAAAACCATTCATTTAACAAGAAGACCTTGTGAAACAGCAGGTTGGAATGGAAAACAAGTGCATCTGAAGCCTGTAAGAGCTTAAAGCATTTAAATGACACATTCAGATAAAGATAAAGTTTGAAATGTTTGATAAGATTAAAGATTTATTATGTTGCAGCTAGGATTCAGAGGGCTTTAAAGCTCGGGCCTCAGTTCAAAATTCCTGTTAAGTGAGCACAAGATTAGATTAAACATTATTTAGCATTTTTTTAAACTGACTGCCCATTATTCTTTGTGCAATCTTAAGGTTTCAATCTGCTTTCCAATATAATTTCCCACAGGTCTTTAAATGTTGACTTGTTAAGACTAGGTCTGTTCATCATGAACTTTGTATATTTAGCTTAGTGAAAATAAAAAACACTTGGCTAAGATGCTGGAGGTGCTTGTAGGAAACAGTGCAATATGTCATGCTCCAGCTCACTTCTTATGTTTATTTTTTAAACCACTGTTCAGAAAAACCTTAACTCAGAAAAATTTAAAAACATAGTCATAATTATTGGTAAGGTAGTAAGTAATGTTCCTGCTTTTACTGTCTTAGTGCCTCAGTTTGTGATTAATACCACTGTAAAAATGAGTTTTTTGGCTATGGCACAATAAAAGTATCTGAATCTGAAACCGGTCAAATCTATTTGGGTCTAAAGGAGGCTTTGCTGAAAGGCTAAAATAAAAAAAACAGCACTGGAGTTAGAAAAAAACTTATTTCCAGCTGATAAACAGCAGAGATTTTTTTTTTTTTTGGTCTAGTTTACAACCAAATTTGGATCAATTAAATGAACCAACAATATTTTGAACATTATCAAAGTTTGTATCTAATGAAATCCAGCCAATTGCATTGAATCACAGACTTTACAACAATCTCTCCTTCTGAAGGTTGATGTATGACTGTGGTCAGACTTGAGCTATTTGAAAGTTTGGGGGAGAGGCTTTCATACTGGGAACACTGCACCAGCATGGTGGTGGTAGCATCATGCTAAGGGTGTTTTTTTTTTTTGTTTTTTTTTTTACTCCCAGTGGTACTGATGCAGTAAGAGTATTGACAGTACTTCACTTCTGATCAGAGGATTAAAACTTGCAACGACAGGACAATGAACCCAAACACACTCAGTGTTGTTTTCTAAATGGATAAAACAGGCAGACCTGAAGCGTCTGGAATGACTCTGACTTAATAAGTACAAGCCAAGCTTGAAAGCCAAGTCTTCCTCAGGAAACTAACTCATTTAAAGGAGCGCTACTATTTCTGATAAGAGCAGTGATTGAATGTCCAGGAGGAATTAAACAAAAAACCTTGGTAGTCACAAAAGCTCTGGCTTCTCTGCAGCCTGCTGGGGACATTTATAGGGAGGGGGTGTGTATAATTTGACTCTGTGTAAATGAGAGTAATTATAAACTTGTGTACCAAGTTCTTGTTTGTAAAAAGTCAGAGCAGCTGCGTTTTTTATTGAAGCAATTATCAAGTTAACTGTGGAACAACTATGTTAAGAAATTAAGGTTATTTTTAAATAGTGACCTGGAATGAACAATATAAACAAATAGTTAGGTTTATTGAAGCAGTCGCGGCAAGATGAGCCAAGAATCACTCCAAACTCTTACGTTTTCTGTAGAGAGAATCAATAAAATCTCTCAAAGTGGAAATAAAACAAAGCTATAAAAGTTTACAATAAACTGATTCCAATGTTTTCTTTTAGCTTTAAAAAAAGTTATTATAGTTTTGTTTTACACATTTTCAAATTTAAATCATCGTTTAAGCACCCTAATTTTTACATCTGTTGAAATATTAATAGTCGGTCCCAGTGAATACCGTCTGGCTGTAAATCTTAAGTTGATCTCCTCCTCCTCCTCCCCTTTCTCCTCCTATGATAATGTGCCATGAGCTCATCTGACATTTGGTGACTGTTGGCAGGATAAAAGCCAGAAGTACAAGTTCGTTCACCTTCCACATTGACTTCAGCACTCCAACAGCGCACTGTTGAAGAGTGTGACAGAAATGTTTACACTGTCGAGAGGCTTCAGTCTTATTGATTCATTGCAGCTGAAGCTCATATCTTTACAGCACAGCGGAGCATCGATCTCAGTTGTTGCTCAGACACACGAAAAATAATCAACCGGACTGGACTGAACGTCAGTAGCTGCTGAAACTTTAATAATCCCAATAATCCGCTCACTCCAGGGCTTCACCCATTTATGGACAGCACTCTTTTTTCCCCCCTCAGTGTACCCTCTTGGATACAATGTTTTGAATTCCCCCAGTGGGCTGGCTCGGCCCACTCGACCATCAGTCGGGCCTTCCTGGCAGAGCGCTTCATCTCCATCCAGTTTGGGCAGAGAAACCAGTGTCATTTCTCTTTGTCTGTTATGCGCATGAGTGTCCCATTTCCACCTGAACCAAAGTGAACCCGGCACAGAGCACCATGCAGCCTCTACTAACACAACACTTAGTCTGCCTCAAAACCTACCTGGATGCTATTATTTTACAGACTGGCTCTCTGCAAGCCAGGAACAAAAGCAGACATATTAACTCAGCACAGCCGTCACATGATCCACACCTGCTCTAATCCAGACGATCTGTGCGTATTATTTCAAAACTAAAGAGCCACTCGTCTCTCGTGACTTCATCTTTCATCTCTGTGATGCAGATCCGCCGCGGACACTGAGACTCACACAGGTTGTCTGCGTCTAGGTCCTTAATTCTGCAGTCACACATGCATTCCTTTCCCATGTGTGAGTGTTTTTTCGTCCATCACGTGCCTGATAGCGACTCCTTACCAGTGATACAATCAAGTGGTCCTCACATCTGGACTACATTTCTTGCAGTCAGCCACACCGGAGAACGTCAGGTCAGTCTGGGCCTCATTAAGACGCTTTTATAATTTATTTTTCAAGAAACCTGGCAGGGATGAAGGATGCTGATGCTGGGTGTAACGTGGAAAACAATATTATTTGCTGCACAGTGTGTCCAACAGGCGGGAGTGCTAATTTATATTTTATGGTATATTTTGCACTAAAAGATCAACAGGACCGCACCTCTTGAATTTTATACCATATAAAATTAAGGTCATCTTGAATGGATTTTATATTGCAGCGTGCCACATTATTCCCATCTGTGGTAAACAGACTCTAACAAAAAAGGAATGAATTCTTGTCTGATGGCTTTTTCTCTTCTTCGTGCCAGACTTACAGAAATTACTTCAAAGAGTCAAAATAATGTAAAACACCATGTGTTTAATGATCAGAGTATGGAGTAGGCAGCAGACAAGACGGGACTCTGCAAGTTCAAATCATGCAGCTCAAAAGTATTCATAACCCCCACGCCTGCACACCATTTCAACCATAAACTTTGATATATTTTGTTTAGATTTCATGAACAAAACCAGCACAAAGCAGTGCTTTATTGTGAAAGATACTTAACGTTCAATGTATTTTGTTTACAAATAAACATCTGAACTGTGTGTTTGTATTTGACCCATTTCACTCTACCCCTAAATAAATTCCTCTGCAGCTTTCAAAAGTCATCTAATTACTGGATGCGACCTACGTGCAATTTAAGCTCGAATCCAGCCATTCTCTGAAGGCCTTTGAGGTTTATTACAGAACAGTAAAATGAAACGGCATCATCTAAACCAAGGAACACCGCAGAAAGATCATAAAAAAGTTGTGGTGATGTTTAAAAGTGTACCAGCATCTGAATGAGGATTGTTTTGAGAATGGAAAAACTTACTGAATCTCGGTCGTTAATTTAAACTGTCAGAGTTCTAGTAGGGAGACTCATCATGAGAGAAGCACCCTAGAGTCTGGAGGAGCAGCAGAGATTCACGTCAAAATGTGGGGCGTAATTGCAAAGGGAAGGGAAAGGGACACATTTTTCACAAACAAAAATGTGAAAAGTGTGATGCGCATTTTTACTCAGCTTTAACTCTGAATATGTCATTCACGACGGTGACCCTAAACACACAAGCATAGCTGCAAAAAACTGGTTTTGATTAAACTGTTTATGTCTGCGGTTGTATTTTAGATATTATCTTAGTTTTGCTACAATTTCTTTTCTTTTGAAACTCAAGAATAAATGTATTTTACAGTTTTTGTATTATTTTAATCAAAATATACCAGATAGTTCATGTATGAGAAGGCTCTCTGAATCATAATGAATAAAATAACGTTGCAACTTGTGAGAATATTTGAATACAACTACATCAGACTTGTGTTAACCTACATTTTTTTAATGAATGTTTTCCACTGCGTCTGTAGGTGTTGTTTGTGTTAAGAGAACTTTAAATGACCCTCACTTTATTATGTCCAGCAGACTGTCTTCATCTCTATGGAAACCTTTTTAGGAGGCAGAGTGCAATCCAGCTCTCGCCAAATGAACAGTATGAGTCAGAGGAAATAAACAAATCTGATTTTAGAGTAAGTCTCTTAAACACTGTGTACACTGCCTTTCCAATCTCCCCGGTAGGTCAAGACCTCTAAATTTATGGGTGCGGATCCAGATGAGCAACACATTAAAATTGAACAGGAGGAATATGTGACTAAAGGTTTTAGCTAAATTTTTCCACATTTTTGTCGGATACGTTTTTAGTGTTTGTCATAACATTAAGATAACTTTCATCTAATAACTACATGCGTCAACAGGCAACTATTAAGTTTTTTTAGAAAATTCTTCACAAAGTAGTAAAATTAGATGTGATTAAAATAACAGCTAACCAGATGATGTCGTGCACAGCTACGCTTCATTTTAATTCGTAAACTAGACGTTGAATAAAGTGTTGAGTGTCCGTGAGGGAAATTAAATACTTCACATTTAATTTCCATAATTTTACTGCCATCTAGTGGCTGGTGTAAAAATTACACTCTTACCAAAGAGCGTAGAAAGGAAAAATATTTATTTACAAAAATATAAAATGGATAATAAAATGAGATGGAGAATAAAACATTGACTGACTGTGCAAAGTTACATTTAAAAATAATTTAGAATAATTTATTAAGATTTTGATATACACATTAAAATCTCCATAAAAGACTCCATAACACTCCAAATATTGTTAAATAATAATCTTTATATATATATATATATATATATATATATATATATACACACACACACACACACACACACACACACACACACACACACACACACACACACATATGATGAGAAAATTGCGAGTGACAAACTTAAATAAGGCAATGCACCTAAAAAATGGTTCAGAAATGAATGGCATTTGTTTGGTATAAATGTTCATACAAAACATTTTTAAAGGAACAATTGAAAACAAAACAAATTTTGTTTTTAAATGTTGCTGGGAAACAAAATAAATTTGTTGCACATGTGTCTTTGAACCAATAAGGAACTGACCGTAAACCATTAAAACACAGCAAAACATAAAAATGAGAGAATTTCCTGTGTGTGTCAGCAGCATAGCTTTAGGTGTTAATGCTGCAATCGGCTGATTATATCAATTCAAAAAGTATTTTAAAACTTTATCAGGCTTTCACTTCATTAAACAAATTTCTAGGATTTCTGCAGTAAAAAAAAAAATAAAAGTGGGATTTTGTGGTTAAATGTTTTTTATTTGTTGTTTGTTTAATGTTTTTTGTTGTTGTTGTTGTCAAGTCCCTTAATTGTTTATGTATTAAGTTTGTTGCAAAAGTGGATTATATTTGGCTTGGAGTTTGACCACTTCTTCTTGTGAATGTTTACTAAGTTTATCCATGTCCTTATCATCAAAGCATTAAAGTCCTTATTAATGGACTTAAATCGATTCAGTTGATTGACAGTTGGACAATCAACTGAATCGATAGTCCAATTGTTAACCTTTTACAGTGAACCTCTTTGACTTTATTTGCTATGCAAATTTCTCTCCATTTAACCAAATCTGTCCCAGTTAACTTCTCTGAATATAGAGGACCAAAAATATCTCCCATAAGGTAAAGTAAAGTAACATAATAACCTCCCTTTAAACAAGTACTATACTCTTTGTCCTTCCGGTCCTTTTAATAAAGTGACTTATTCTTATACAGAATGTTCCCATTCTGTATAAGAATGGGAACATTCTTATACAGAATGGGATAAGAATGTTCTTATACAGAAGTTGCGCTTTAAAAACGCAACTTTTAAAGAAAAGTTGCGCTTTAAGCAATTTTCTAAGCCAGGGGATCTCGTTAATGAAACCTGGATAATTTAATAGTTTATAGTTACATTTTAATATAAAAGAAATTCGAGTCTACTCACCAGATTAAAAATATGATTGGGGAACTCCTCCCATCCCCTATCCACCCATCTTTTCTCCTTTTGTACGTCATACGTAACAGGCTAAGCCCCGCCCTCGGCCTGTCTCTCACGCACCAGTTACGTCTGACCGTAAAAAATAGAAACTTCCAAGATGGCCGAGTCCGTGGACTCCATGCATTTCGCTGCGAACAGCAAAACAAATTCCCCGAAACCCCTACTGGCCAAACGACCGCCCGAGAGCCGTCCGCAGTCTTCCAGCGACATTTTCCCACCCACCCCGAAGAAGGTCAGGGTGGAGGAGAAGGGCCTGAAGCACAGGAAACTGAACGGAGAGGTGTGCGCAGGGGAAAAACACAACGGGAAGCAGAGTTGTGGAAGCCCAGCGAAATGGAGTTTCGGCCCGGCCAAGGCGAGCCACTCCACCGCCTCCGCGATGCCAACTACCCCTGTCAGGAAAATCTTCAAAATCAGCAACTTCCTGGCCTCGCCTCCCAAGGTGAAAAAGGCGAAGGAGAAGCGACACAAGGAGAAGGAGAGGAGCAGCGAAGCCCCGCGGAGCTCCGCCGCCGCTGTGGAGAGAGTGAGCCCCGCTAGCTGCCATACAAAGACGGAGAACGGCGACGTGAAAACGCTGCAGAGAGGTAGGGCAACACGGCACGGCCAGGGTGCTCCCCACATCACCACACTTTGCTGCTTTACAGTAAAATAAACCCAGTTTATCCACAAATCCATCCATGGGATGTTTTGTTGAGTTATTCGACATTTTGCCGCACATCAGGCCTCTGTTTTTATTAGGCCCATATGGTGTGTGTATACACGTGGAAATGTTTCTCCTTGAATTATTTGCCACAGTTTTGACACAACAATGTTTCAGTTCACCTTTTCTTCTCCCTAGATCACAGTGTGAAGGAGAAAGACAGGCAGAAGAAGAAGGAAAAGAACAAGGAGTGGAACAAACACAAACTACCACCTGTGCATGACATTGTGAGAGAAAACGGAGAGGTGATGTCCCCCCAGAAAGGTAGGAATTGATTCAGAATTTGAAATAACTTTATTATCAGGCAGAGATAATGGTGTAATTGTGCTCTTTTTGGTTACTATAGGAATTTAAGTCAATTTAAAGCTGGTTTGGTTCTGGTTGTCCCGACATCTTATGCAAAATTATATTGGAAGTTAAGACAAAATAAGACAAGTGTAACAGCTGTATATCTTGAAATCATAATGGATCAAAATGATAAGTCATAGTACTGTCCAGTTGGTGTAAACGGCTCTTGTTTTGATCACAGAGTCTAAAGAGGTGCTCAGTGTTGGTTCAGAGGAAGAGCTGCTGCTTAAGAAACTCAAGAAGAAGAAGAAAAAGAAGCACAAAGACAGCGAGTGGGTGAAAGAGAGGCACAGCCGGCCCAAAATGTACCACCGATCCTGCCAGACTGTGTGCTCAGGGGTGACTCTGGGTCTGCCGGAGTTCCTCGGCCGGATCAACGGGGACAGCAGCAGCAGTGGTCTAATCCACAGCACTACAATACCACAACACTTCCAGGATCCTGCTGCTGCTGCTGCTGCTGCTGCTTCTCCTCCCACCATGTCCTCCATAGTCAGGGACAGGCTCAGCTACGGCTGTACAGCTACGGCGGGCCTTCCCGGGCTGGAGTTCAGCCATCTGATCCACATCGAGCAGCAGGCCAACGGCGGCGCCTCCGTGGTGCACGCCTACACCGAGGAGCTCTCCTGTCTGTCTCCAGCAGAGATGCAGCGCTTTGCAGAGGAGTTTGTGAGCCTGTCGTTCAGCGAGGATGGAGCTCAGGCCGCACGCTTTGTGATGGGAATCATCCACGGAGCGGCTTCCTACCTCCCAGACTTCCTGGACTACTTCTCCTACAAGTTTCCCAACGCAACAGTGAAGATGGAAGTGCTCGGAAAGAAGGACATCGAGACGACCACCATGGCTACCTTTCACTCTCAGGTGAGGTTGGGTTTCTGAACTGCGTCAGATAGAGACCGGGATGTTTTGCTCCTTCGAAGTCTCTTGGTAGTTTGTGAGCAGCTCAGTTGTCACATCCTGAAACGACACACCTCACAGTTTTGTGTCCAGACTTGGTGGATCCTTTCAAGCTGCGCTGCAACATCTCCAGTCTTTTCTTGTGTGTTCAAAGAGTGTCAGTTTTCATGTAGTCTTGTAAGGCTGAAAGCTCTGTTGTTGTGTGGTTTGAAAAAGTCATTTCAGTCACAGATGTTCTGTCAGGGTAGGAAGATGCTTAGAAAAACTCATGGAAGAGACGGCCCATATCTGGATGACTGTGTTAATGTAGAAAAATCTGTGGTAACTTTTCTTTTTGTCCATAAAAATCTGTGACTTTTCCATTTATTTATCAATGTAACTATTAAGCTACTGTCCCATAGTTTGTGTCTTGCTATTGAAAGCCCGTTGGAGGTCTAAGTGTGAGAAAATGAAGCCGATTTTGTAGAACATCAACTCCTGTCAGGTCTTTAAGTTGTGTGCATCACATTTTGTGTGGTCATGTTCTTAATAATGCACGTATCATGGAGTCAAGGGTAAGGAGTTCAGTGTTCTGCTGCATCTTGACGTGGATTCGTCAGCTTTGGTATTACACCAGTATTTTGTTGTGTATTTACCAATCAAGATAATGTCAGTGCTGCTTGACTACAGACAAGGGGTCAGATACTTTCCTGAATTCAGCTGAAAGACGAGTAAATAGTTTCACTTTCAGTTTCAAGCATTCAGCATGCCGAGTTGGATGAGTCTTCGTCAGCGCAGACAGAGGATCTTCATAGTGTTGCATGAGATGAATAAATGTTGTTATATAGTCGTGACAGGCTAAGCCAGAGGATCCCAAACTGTGGGGCGCGCCCCCTAGGGGGGGCACCGTGTCATTGCAGGGGGCGCGCGGGAAGCCGTCTGGATGAAAAAAACAAAACAAAACATGAACACTGTTTGCGCTGGGTTTTTACCTTAGAATGGCCAACTCTCTGTTATTCCTATGTCGATTTGATACAGTAGAGGCTTCCACACTTCCCATATCTGTGTCCTCTGTCACTTTTATCAGCAGATAAAACTGTTTAATCCGTTGTTAACATGTTGTAACCTGTTTTTCCGAGCCGCCTTTAAACGCAACATGAGCGCTAGACGCTCGCCTGGGTTTCCACCTGTGAAGGAGACCTGCTGCTGCTGGGCGGAGCTACGTAGGTTTGTGTTAGAATCACGGCAGCAAACCAGCAAAACGCAAAGAACTTTTCACAGTTTTTCCCTCCAAACTAACAGACTGAGTTGAGTAAAGCTGCTGGATGCAGGTAATGTTAGCTAAAAGATGACTAGCTAACATCAATACAGAACCTTAAGCTTAACAAGTAGCCTGTAGGCTACCGATGTTGGTGTCTATTTTCAGCTACGTACATTCATTTTGCCCCCCAAAAAAGTCGATGCACCCTCCCCCCGTCACACGCGTCGTTTCAACCAGACAGCCATTTGTAATCCATGGGTGTGTGGGGGGGGCAGAAAATGTGTTTGGAAACCACTGGGGGGGGCGCAGAAGAAAAAGTTTGGGAACCACTGGGCTAAGCAATGAATCAATTAATTGTCTGATGAATTAAAATGAGCTTACTCTCTGTTTTGACAACAATCGGTAAAGAGAAGCTCCCCTTTCATTTTGAAAAATGCAAACATTTAACACCCTGTATGAAGTATTTAATTTTCCCCTTTTTTAATTTTTGTTTTACAAAAGTCCTATTTGGCACACTTACCTTTTTTCCTGTTTTAAATGCAATTTTGGTTACAGACACTTCATAATCTGTTTTAATTATTATTGTTTTGGTTGTTTTGTTTATTTGTTTTGGATATTTTAAATGTTTTCCAGTTGCAGTGTTAAATGTTCTTTGATTTTTGAGAGGATGCACTTACATTAATGCATCATTAATAATATTAGACTTACTGAAAGTGGTCCCAAAATAACAATATTATTGTTTGTTGAAATAATGTTCAGGACAATTTATCATCCAGATAAATGAGTTAATATGACAGGCCTAAAGCTGCAGCATTGTTGCAGTTGTGTAAATGCTGTAGCCTCGTAAAACACTCCATTGTGTTAGTGAGGCTTAGCTGGTGACCGCTATGACTAACCAGTGTTAAATATATAGAGAGGCAAAGCATTGTTTACATAAGATTGTTCTCCTACGTTGCTGAAACGTAAGGCAGATTTGCAGTAGTTTAATACTGAGGTGTTAAATAATCATTAGGAGAAAAATCTTTTCTTAGTTGTCAAAGATTAAAATGTAAAAAAAAACATCTAAAGTTTTGGCGGGAGGGATGCTCTGCAGTGATTGGTGGCTCTATTTGGGGCGTGCTCTATGATTGGTCGTTGGGTGGGTTGGGTTGTTTTTGTGCTGAGATTTACTGGGTGTTTTGCTGTCAGCTGGAAGAAAAGGAGTTTATCTCTTCAATGGAGAGTAAATCTTTCACCAGTCAGAGAAAACATGCGGGCTGATCTGTGATTATGTTATTAACTGCTGACATTTTCGATGAGCAATAATGGGATTTGAACCACCAAAATCCCAACTAAACAGCCTGGATTAAGAGATGCACAGAGTGATTTTGTCTATACCTATTTTATCTGACTCTCATTTCTCTTTAAGTTTAAAATAAATGAGAACCTTCGAAATATTTTCTAACATGTAAATTTAACCACCTTTCCCCCAAATTATTCATAACCCTACATACGTATCTCAAATGATAATAATATAATGGACAATAAGTATAAATTTTACAAAGTAGAAAATTATTTTTTATACATTTTGTTAGAAAAAAATAAGCATTTCTTAAACTTGTTTGCACTCTTCTGAATAATCAGTGCAAAAATCTTCAATCTTATGTGTTTCCTCTGGTATTTTTAGGATTTAAATTTGGTGATGCGCTCCAAGCTTTGTGGTAGGAAGCCTTCACTGATTCTGTATCTCTATCAGGACTGGTCCACTCCAAAACATCCAGTCAGAAGAAACACGTCGGTAAAATCAAAATATTACTTTAAATCTAAACAGGGTTGGTGTATGAATAATTTTAGAGTTGTTTTACTGAAAAATGAAACGATTTACTACTACAGTTGACCGGGTGACTGTGCTGTTTCTCTATGCACCGGTCACATCACTGTAAATCTAGTTTGTTTTAAAATCCTCGAGGGTTTGGGGAATAAATATTTGTACAAATAAATCCTCCTAACGGATGAAACGTAACTCCTTTCTCTACCATATGCACACAGGACCAATTCACAATACCAGATTTTTAAATTTAATGTGAAGATAAGCAACTATGCAGGATCTTTATAGCTCTTTAAAGTATTGTGTTGCTATTAAAAGGGATTTTACTAAAAAGATCAATGTTATTCCAGCAGCATGGTAACATGGGAGGTTTTAAACTGCCTTTCACAGCTTATATTATTGATTAACTCAATTATCAGTCTGTGGGTGTTTTCTATGTAGAGGAAAGCTGCCAACATTTCCTAATCCAGCGTTTTCTGAAACAAAGTATCTGTGCTGTAGTATCTTTTGTCTTCCTGTTTCTTGGAGAGTGAGAATTTAATAAGTAATTTCCTGAATGAACAGACACTCCCTGTTCTTCCTTGGACTTAATTTGAAGATATCTCACTAATTCAGAACATGTTTAACTTTGACTCCTCTTTCTTCAGTGACTTCCACACTGAAGACTGTTCCCTGCATGGACTGCTAGACCTTACATATGATGTTCATTAGTTGGGGCAGAAAAGATCACAGCTTCTGAGTGACCAATCTTTAATCTAGAGCAATCAAAACTGGCTGCTTTTTGAAGTGCTAACAAGATTTTAACATATTTTGCAGAGTTACTTACTTTATTCATCATTTAGAACCTTTTTTTTTTGTCTAAATTTAACGTTTAGCTGGCTGCTCTTTAATGTTATCTGGTTTGTCTGTTTAACCTGTTACCATGTTAGATTTATTGGACAATAGTGGCATGCAGGTTTAGGTTAAATGTTGTGGCAGCGCCCCCTACTGGCTCACCAGTGCTAACAGTCCCCTTGATGAGGTTCGATAATGATCTGCAGCAGGAGGATTTACAACTTTCACGTTAAGACTACAGCAACAGTCTTGAATATGCTCTCCCTTTGGTTTGGTAAACTCAGGTTTTGGGTTGGTACCCCCTGGTTCTGGTCTTGACAAGACAATCACTAATTACATGTGGAGCCCGTAGCATTTCAAGGTAGAGGATTCTCACTTCTGACAATGTCTGAGGACGACGAAGGCCATAGAGAGAGTTGTGCACGTTACGACGGATGAGAAAGAGAGGAGCAAGCCTACCTGGTGCGCAGATCGCCTCGCTGGGTGACAAATGGTGCTCAGCCACTAAAAATGGAAGCTCGAGTTTGTCACATGCTTTGGGTTTAAAGCCTCGTTTCAACACGCTTCAGCAAGTTAAACAAACTGATTTAGGTCACGGAAAGATTTCATACATCTATGCCAAACTCTCTCAGCTGTGAGAACAATTATTTCAAGACACTGAAAATATCTGCACAATATTTCAAACTGCGCTTATGACGGCTATGCAACTTAGATGGAGCTAAGCTGTGATGTTTTAGGAGGTTTGCTTAATGTTTAAAAGTAATAACTCTGTAATGTGATGTTTCCCTACAGTGGTGAAGTCCCACTTTACTTTCAGTCCTCTAAGTAGATGCAGTCAATGTGTTGAGGTTTCACAATTTATCCATTTGTTTTTTTATTGATTAATTTCATTTGCTGATGCAGACTGCAGATGTACAGTTTTGCAGATTAGCATATAGTGGAGCAGCAGCAGCAGCTCTAAAAGCCTCTTTAGTTAAGTGACTGAATTAATTCACGGCCACTCTCAGACTCGCGCGTTGTGTCAGTTTCTGCTGCATATACGCAGTAGTTATGGACTCAGGATTGCACTGCTTGACTTAATAGAGAGGTGTGCTGCAGAGGCAGGGGGTCTTTAGCGCTCGCCGCCTCAGAGCTTTGGAGTCGACATGTGACGACTGAATGTGTTTGATTGCTTTATTCAGGCTGTTTCTGTTCACTGGTTAACATAAAAGTAACAAGAAGGTAAGAACAAAGCATTTCCAGAACCAAAATTAGTGTAGCGATTCCTTATCTCATGCTGTATGGTTTTTATTTTTGGTGCTTCAAATTATCTCACTGAATGCCAGATTTGTTCAGTTTTTTTTTTTTTTTTTTTTTTTTTTTTTTTATCCTTTCAGGCTGCAGCAGGTTCACTCTCTCACTTAAAGAGCATTTTGGCACTTTTTGTTGTGTTTATTGCTATGCTTTGCTCTATAAATGACCTCAGGGTAGAAATCATCTAGCTGTTGCTCAACACTGGCTGGGTCTGTCATTCAACATGCGTTGCCACTTTGGTTTGTGTTATATTTCTGCTTTCCAGTGTTGACGTCCTCTAAAGCAGATTAACCGCATTGAGACAATAATCTTGTGTGACATAATACTGTTCAGTTCTTGTTTTTGCTCGGTTGTATTTGGACGAGACAGCGAAAGTGAAACTATGGAAGAGATCGTCAGTTGAGTGCAAACATTTTTTTCCTCGGTTAATTTTAACTTTTAAACTTCAGATCAAGACTGACTCGCAGCGCAACAGGTTAGACTCAATCCAGCTGATATTTCACTAGAAATTAAGTTTAGTTTTCCTTCAGTGCAGAAATGCTGCGCAATTAAATTAAGTGCTCTGTCTGTGCAGCAGCTGATTGCTGTCAAACTTAATACTGCTGAGAAAAATAAAACATTTTGTGCTTTAGGAAAATTAAAAGCAAGGGATTCTCTTTAAAAACAACAAATTAATGGCATTATTATTGTCCTTATTGGTGCAAAGCCCATAAAACAGATGGTGAGCCAGCAGCCATGCAGATAAAAACAAGAGATTAAAGGGGCAGTATTATGTATTTTCCAGCCATGTTGTGCCATTTTATGGCATACTCAAGTAACTAGGTGTTATTCTGAGAGGTGAGGTAAAAGAACTCAATCTTGGCTGTACACCAACAAAGTTGATTTATTAAGTCTGGTGCAACACACAGCAGATTAAAAAATGGCAGCCATCAGTCCTATCTCTACATCCAGCAGTTCACCTACATACTGGTTAAACCCCGCCTTCTCAATCTACATCAGCCAATCACCTCAGCGTTCCAGAGTGGGAGAAAAAGGAAAAAAAAAGTTAACTTTCACGTACACAGAGTAAACGCTAACAATTATTTATCAGTAATAGAATGTAAGGCAAACATTTTACATATGCAAAATGCACAATTTGTAAAACGTTTTATTCTTTTAACTAGTTTAAACTTCAGCCTATCAAATTCCAGCTCTAATAACTGCGCTTTCTACAACAGAGTTGGGTTTGAGGTGCTAAAATCCATTTTAGCAGGATTCCACAAAAAAATACCACAAGGCAACAAACATTTCAACCACACACACACAAAACGTTTATTTGCACACGTTAGAACTAAGGTTAGAGAAAAACTCATTACTTCTTAAGGCTAGATTGTTTTCAGCCGTTATAGAAGTGCTGAGTATATGAAATTGAACTTAATAATTAGACGCCTTGAAATTGAGCCCGTCTCTTTAAGAAGCTCCTGCCGCTTTCAGCACTTCATCACAACAATTAAATCGCTTACAGCCATTTTTATAGCAGGGTTTCACTGAGTAGCGGTTCCTATGATGAGCTCAGCAGACTCAGTTCCTCCAGGTGTTTGCTGCTGCCGCTAGTCTGTAGGAGTTAGCAGGGTAGGTGAGCTTGGCTTGGAGACTGCAGCTCAAAGGAGGAGATATGTGGGAAAAAGTGGCACTTTGTGAGAGCCAACGTTTAGTCGTCCAGAGCAGGTTGCCACGGGAGATTAAAGCATTTCTCAAACAAGCATGAAAGAGTCACAGCAACACTTCAGGTATGTTTTTGATGAGGGAATAACATCAGAACATGATGTAAATAGCAAAAAAGTCGATTTTACATAACACCCCACCTTTTAAGTAGCAAACCGGTGGACAAGATGTACTTTAGTATTAGTGCTTTGGATTCAGATGCGGAACACGTTATTGGAAACAGAACCGGGTCCATTTAAAAGGCTCATCATAAAATAACCAGAAGCACAAGTTTATGGTTCTGATGATTCTTCGACCATCAAATAAAATATGAGGCAAGCAGTGAGCAGGGTAGGTACAGAACACTTTACTGCATCTATTATGCTTCTTCTTATTAGTTGTGTTGTAGTTAAATAATTTAAAACTAAAAATACAACGGGGATAAATCTGTTGATGTCTATCAGAAACATTAGGTCTGGTTCGTGTTAGCCGTCAGTGTCACCAGCAGAGGCGCCTGCTGTCTCCACTTCTCACCGTGACGCGGCTGCATTTACATTCAGATCAGGTAGCTGCAGTTTTTTCAATTACGATGTAATTTACTGTTCACTTAAAACCAAATCAGACGGTGCGGCGTGTTAATGTCGGGTCTGAACAGGCCAGCGTCGACGTAAACGCGCATCACGGAAGCAACCACCTTCTGCTGACGTCACGGCGCGCCACGAGAGCAGCGGCTTCCCTCCCGGATGTTTTCTCTTCCAAGATAAAAACGCGATCCGTTAAAAAAAAAAAAAAAAAAAAAAAAAAAAGAAGAAGAAGTGGCATCCAAACCCCCAGGGTTTGTTCCTCAGAGAAAACATTCCGCTCTGCTTTTATGATGATCTCTGCTGCTACAGCGGGGAAAAAAGCACAGCTGTGAGTTCGGAGGCAATGCTCTGCATCTGTCCTGTTCTGGTTCTGGTTCTGGACGAGCTCTGCACCGAACGGCTTGAGCCAAGCCGTTTGCTTCTGCTCATGTGCTGGTGAACACGGCCGAACCGGACACGGAGTGGGCCAGGATGACGTGTGGCTGCATGATGCAACAAGTTTTCACTGATATGGAGCTATTAGAAGTTTGAAAAACAATTTCATGATTTTTAGTCAACAATGATTCACAGACACTAATACTTTCACTCAAATGTGTAATTTAATGTTAGCTATAGAACCATTTCACTTTTCATATATCTAAATAATTGTTGACGGAGCTATTTTTAAATGTTTGGATTGTATTTTTTTGAATCCAAGAAGTTTATATATTAACATTTATCAATATTTAAACATTTTTGATCATTTATCATTCAATTTCCTAACTTTCATCTCCATATAATACACATTTCCATACTTGTGTATTTTTGTATTTTGTGCCTTTCTCTAAAAGTTTGAAGAAAATAAAATAATGTACTAATTACTGCTGTGGAAAAATTTAAGAGAACACATAAAATTATAATTTTCTCTGATTTTACTTTTTACCTTTACGTGTTTGAGTAAAATGAACGTTGTTCTTTTATTCTATGAACTACTGACATGTCTCTGAAATTCCAAGCAAAAATTTAGTATTTATTAGCAAAAAATTTGAAATAGTCAAAATAACGATAAAGATGCAGACTGCAGTGCTTTCAGATCTCAAATAATGCAAAGAAAACTAATTAATATTCATTTGAAAACATCAATGCTAATGTTTAAACCCAGGAAGAGTTCAGAAATCGATATTTGGTGGAAAAACCACAAGGTTTTCTGTTAATATTTTCCAGAGTTTTATGTTATACTGGATTGTAGGATGATACGGACTAAACATAACATTGTTATAATAAAAGTGATGATAAAAACTATTTAATAAGTCTGTTTTAGGTAGCTGACTGCGTGTGACAACAATACAGAATATATATTGCAGCCTCGAGGTTGACGGGAGGATCTAAATACTTTGTTCTTGTATAAATTGGAGTTATAGATTTGAAACTGTCTGAATGATTTTCTGTTCCTCCATCACATTTCTCTGAGTCCCAGCAGCTTGGCTTTTGTTTGCTTTGCTCCTGACATTTCCGTTTCTCAATAAGCGCTGAAGGTTGAGGTTTTCTGAGTGCGCAGTTAAGAGCAAACACTGAAAAGGCCATCTGCCGTGTTTCTCTAGCTGTGGAAATGTGCCGTGATGTGAGCTGGGGGCTGATTTTTGTCCTCTCCTCCAGGTGAAGAGGACGTATTCCCGGGGAACGTATCGTGCCGGCGCCATGCGGCAGGTCAGTCTGGTCGGAGCCGTGGACGAAGAGGTCGGCGACTACTTCCCAGAGTTCCTCAGCATGCTGGAGGAGTCTCCTTTCCTGGTGGTCAGTGCTCTCCAATAGCTGCAAAATGTCCGCACCAGCGGCGAGTCAACATCTGTTCGACTTCCATCTGTGTGTGTGTGTGTGTGTGTGTGTGTGTGTGTGTGTGTGTGTGTGTGTGTGTGTGTGTGTGTGGCTGTGTGTGTGTGTGTGTGTGTGTGTGTGTTCTTGAGTTACGTAACCTGAAGTTTCCCGCCATGTGTTTGTGCAGCGAACTCTGCCGTGGGGAACCTTCTCCAGTCTGCGGCTGCAGAGCCCGACCGAGAGCGACGACGGCCCAATCATGTGGGTCCGACCCGGGGAACAGATGATCCCCATGGCGGACATGCCGAAATCCCCCTTCAAAAGGAAAAGGTGAATTTCTATCCCTTCACCACATTGTCATGTCAGAAATGCTGCACTGTGAAAAGCAGAAACGCTGCATGATTTAGACGAGTGTGATGTTTACTTGCTTTAGGCCGTTTTGGATGCAACTATATCTGAAACTAAAGTCATGCAACATTCAAGTTTCTAGCTAGAAACTGACGCACATCATCATTTATTGTATTTAATTACTATTTAATTAAATGAGTTACTTTTGAATAATATAAATCTCATACTTCAGGGATGCCAGAACATTATGTAACATTTATGTAACAACTTTATGAACTGGAGAGTATTCGTGGGCCAAAGAAATAAAGCGTGCGCCACACTTTGGACATCCTGGTGTCCTTCTACCACAGTTAAACTAAAATTTACTGGAATTGGAGAAACTTGGATTATATTGTTTGATGAAAATGTGATTAATCAGAATTAACCCTTTGTTGTGTAGTGGTCAATACAGTGAACAGCTATCTAAAAGCCATTTTCTTGTGCTTCTTGTGGATTTTTATGTTATGTATGCACACAGACCACTGAAGTGGACACTAATGCATCATAAAATACACTATCAACTGCTGGCCATCAGCTCCAAATGCAAGAAATTATTTTTGTTAAATCCAATATGGCCGACAGACCAAAAACCATGCCAACCGACCCGGTCCCTCCTTCTACGGTAGACGACTCTTGCAGGTAAAAAAAATATTGTGACATCAGAAAACCCCTAAAGAACAAAACTACTGATGTATTTTTCAAATAACAACTTTGTATTTGGAGAAAATTACAATTGGTGACCTAAAAACAAAAGAATGTTTACAAAACTTTTTTCCTACCTTTTTTTCATGCCTTAAGAAAATCAAAGAAAATTTTGGGAAATGGTTAATTGACTAGTTTTCAGAGGCTTTCTTGTAAAGAGGTGAGGAAAAAATGCATCAATTTCCTTCCTGTTCTTAAGTATGCTCCACTTTGTTGTCCATCATAAATAATCTCAGTAAATCACATTGAAGTCAGTTATTATCACCTGAAATAAAACGGAAAAAGCTCAAGAGGTGTGAATACTTTTACAAAGAACAAAAACCCGTTTAAATACCTTTTTACTGCTGTAAGAGCGTTTGCCTCCTCCATAAACCATGACGGCTGTGAACTGGACGTGTTGCAGGTCCACCAACGAGATCAAGAACCTGCAGTACCTGCCCAGAACCAGCGAGCCCAGAGAGATGCTGTTCGAGGACCGGACCAGAGCCCACGCCGATCACATCGGTCAGGGCTTCGAGCGACAGACCACGGCCGCTGTCGGCGTGCTGAAGGCCGTCCGCTGCGGAGAGGAGTGAGTGCAGAGGATCCGTTTCACTTCTCCAGATCCTCCCGCAGTGCATGCTGGGAGGTCTGAAGCTGCCCAGCCTGTGGTTTACTCAGGCTTGCTTTTTAAAACCCGTTGTGTCGATTCACAGCAGCGACACTCCCGCCCGGATCACCAAAGACGTTGTGTGTTTCCACGCCGGAGATTTCCCAGACGTGGTCATGAGGCTGCAGCTGGACCTCCATGAGCCGCCGCTGTCGCAGGTGGGACGGACGTTTCTTTCTTTAAGCTTTCCAGCAGCGAGCGAAGAAACGCTAGTTTCTTCTTCCTTTACTGCCCCACTAATTATTTCCATGCTTGACAGTAAATCTGGTTACTGTGGGTAATGTAAATTATCTGCTAAACCGCTGACTATTAACTCGACCTGCCAACAAATGAGGAGCTGCCCAGATTCTTTGTTTTTCGTCTAAAAGTGTTTTTATTGCAGACAATAAACAAATTAATGGTGAAGTAAAATGCATATTTAGCAACCGTTTAGAGTAAACAAATTCTGATTGGATTTACTGACTGTTCTTGTGTTTCTTAAGTTGTCTCGAGATTTTAATAAATGAGATTAGGCAGAAATTCTGTAATCTGGTGATGTTTGGGGTTTGAAACAGTCCGGTAATTATTTTGGAATTTAATAAAATTGGAAACGAATGAGAGAACTGAAAATGAAAAGTATTTCCCAACTTTTGTCCCCCATCCAAAAGAAAGAGGTATATTTGCTTTTCTTCCTCCTTCCTTTCTCCCATACATCCTTTCCTCATTCCTTTCCTACCTTCCTTCCCTCCTTCTTTACTTCCTCCTCCTCGTCATTCGCTCAGTCCTACCTTTTGTCACTCTTTTATCCATTTCTTTCTTTCTGTTGTTCTTTTTGTGATTATTCCTTTTTACCTCTGTTCTTCCTTCTATCTTTCCCATTCACACACTTTTTTTGTGTGCTTCCTTTTGTTCTTATTTCCATCCTTTCAAACTTTATTCTTGTATTTCCTTTCTTTCTTTAATATGTCCTTATATCCTCTCTAACTTCCTTTTGTACTTTAGTCCTTCTATCACTCCTTATGTCCTCCCTTTTTTGTCCCCTTATCCTCTCCCACTGCGGAACAATCTACCAAAAATATGAAATTTGGGGTCTGGAAAAAGAATTTTAACATAATGTTTTAATTAATTAATGTAGTCAATATTGATAGGATTAATGTTTTTTGTCAAAATAAAAAGTATCTAGTAAATAAACACCACCAGATAGTCAAAAGTTACGTTAACGTCAAAGTAGGAAGAAAAACAACAAATTTATCCTGTGGGGTTTTGTTTTGTTTTGTTTCTAAAATCAATGTAAAGTAACTAGAGCTAGCTAAGCGCTGTGTCCTCTTGTCTCAGTGTGTCCAGTGGATCGACGACGCCAAGCTGAACCAGCTGAGGAGGGAGGGGATCCGATACGCTCGCATCCAGCTCTACCACGACGACATCTACTTCATCCCCAGAGGAGTCGTCCACCAGTTCAAGACCGTCTCGGCCGTCTGCAGCCTGGCCTGGCACATCCGACTCAAACAGTACCACCAGCAGGAGGAGAGGAAGGAGCAGGAAGAGGAGGAGAAGTTTTCACTAAGCGAAGCGCTGCATAGAGTCAAACAGGAGGAAGACGTGGAGGAAGAGGGCAACAAGTGCGACTTTGCGGTGCAGACGGTGAGGAAGGTGGAGGATGAGGACATGGAGGGACGAGAGGAGGCACCGTCTCAAACGCTGACGCATCACTTCAAGGAGGAAGAGGAAGATGGCCAAGAAGAGATGAAGGAGTTGCTGGGAACACAGCCTCTGCCTTTGGTCCAAAATGAATCGGAGGAGGTTGTCTTCAGTCCCACGTCGATGGAAATTAAAGTGGAGGAGCTTCAGGAGGACAGAAAGGGCGGCGCAGAGACGAATCAAAGACTGGCGGGTCAGGAGGACGCTGGACAGGACGCAGCGTTCCTAAAGGCCTCACACCAGGTCAAGAAGGAAAGTGATGTGGAGGAAGAGCGGCAGCCAAAGGCAGCGCTGCCAGACAAGACTAAAGACGACACGACGAGCGCTCCCAGCACACCGCAGATCAAAAAAGAGAAGGATAAAGGTAAACGTGAGCGAGACGAAAGGGAGAGGACTAAAGAAAAGAAGGAGAAGGACAGGAGTAAGGATAAGGAGAAAAAAGACAGAGGAAAAGACAGAGAGAGGGAGAAGGTCAAGACTGAAGGAGGAAGAGATGGGGGCGCCCTGATCCTGACGCAGATAAAGAAAAAGGAGGATGAAGAGCGGACGAAAGAGGGAAGTCGAGGCTGCCCGACCGCGCCGGCTGCTCAGAGAGACGAGAAGTGGGCCAAGGAGGCCGACTCCAAAACACAAACCAACTTCAAGAGAGACAAGGAGCACGACAAGGACAGAGGAGCGCCGCCGTCCCGGCCCGACAGAGAGGACGGCCGAGACGGAGGCTCGCACAAAAACAAGTCCACACATGGAAAGAAGGAGAAGAGCGGCCACAAGGAGGGCAAGGACACGAGCGTGTCGTCGGCGAAACCAGGCAGGGAGGACGGTAAGACACACAAACACCCGCAGCTGCAGGCGAAGAAGGACGGCAAGAAGGAGAAAGACGGCGGCAGAGAGGAGATCAGGAAGAAGCCTGAACACAAACCAGCACGGACGCTCTTCACGTTCGATCTCTTTAAGCCCCTGGAGGCTCACCAGCCGCTCGCCCTCTCCTTATCAGACAGCAGACCCAAACCTTCCTCCAAGCCGGGGTCGGACGCTCGGACACTTGTTCCCTCTAAAGGACCAAAAGTAAAGGACTCATTGCAGGGAAAACCAGCGGCGGCGGCGGGGCTGCAGGACTCGCTAAAGCAGCCTCTGAGGACACAAACGCCACAAACACAGAAAGACTTCTCGATATGAATGTCTCCATGTCTTCTGCTTTTATTGTACTACTTATGCCAAGGCCTTGTTAAAATATTTGACGGTTCACCCTTCCTTTAAGAGGCAACCATTCCACCACTTAGACGTGACGCAGCGAGATGAGGATGCGCTCTGCGAGTATTTTAACAGCGCCAGCAAATGTAAGCTAAGGAGCTCACTTCATTTTGTTGGTCAGCAGACGTACGAAGTCTTTAACACGATTACACGATTCGCTTTGGTGACCCGTGTGTCGGTGCCTGTGCACTACTCAGCTTCGCTCATAAAGCTCCTATTTTAGGTACTCGAGCCAATCTGAAAACAATCATCTTCATAGTACTTTGCAAAAGTTTTGATACCTTTTTCACGTTTAGTCATGTCATAACCACAAACTTGGATGGATTTTATGGGGATTTCCAGAGAGAGCGACACAAAGTAACTAAGGTTACATGATTTACCATTTTGAAATCTGTTTTCTCCTTTGTCTGCTACCCTGAAATAAAATCCTGTGCAACAAATGACCTCCGGAAGTCGACTAATTAGTAAATAAACCTGTAAAATATTCATCTCCCCTTAAATCAGGTCTTTTCAGAACTACATTTCTCTGCAGGTGCAGCTGTAAGCTCGTTCAGAGTGGACATCGGTTTCAAGCTGTCCAGTCAGATTCAGGGCTACACCAGGAGTCTGCAACCTTTACGACATAAAGAGCCAAATAAAAGACATTTACTCCAGGAATTTCTTGTCATTTTTAAAGAACCGGAATTTTATTTACTAAATTTTATTTATATTCCAGCTTAATGACAAGGAAAACCAAACTAAAACTGGTACTTTATCGTTATTCCTTGTGGAAATTCAGTGCATATACACTGCAAGGAAATTAAATAAAATCAGTTAAAAACACTGTTGTTATATTTGTGTTTAGAAACATTAACTGGTTCCTTTTTCATTTTTAGCTGAAGTTCTTTAGAGCCTTTAAGAAAGTCCAAAGAGCCACTAGCAGCTCCAGAGTCGCAGGTTGCAGACCCCCGGCCTACACTCGTAGCCTCATATTTAGATCCAACCGTCTTAGAATCAACTCTAACCAGCTGCTGAGTTCCACACCATGATGGAGCCACCACCGTGCTTCATAGAGGAGGTCATGGTCCGGATATGTTTAAAATGTGGCTTTTTTTTTTTTTTTTTTTTTAATTTTTTTTTTTTTTTTTTTGTTGGTTTCCTTGGTTTTCTTCCTGCTTTGAAAAACTTCATTTT